ACTGAGTGTTAGCAATCAAGTTGCCACTGCTCAGGGTTAACAGCTATGGAAAATTCTCTTAAAACCCAGAAATGACAAATAATCTATATAAGAACAGATTTCATATAACATATAACCTGGTCGTCTAAGAATAAGCAAGACATTAGGATGAAAACCTGAGTGCTACCATAAAATAAGAACACATGAGAGAAAAGTCTTACCTGTTGAACTGGTTTGTTAGAACCTTAGGGCAGACACAAAAAACATTTGCAATAGTCTTAAACTGGCTAGATGCAGCTGACATATGTTGCCCTTATTTATGTTCATGGCTATTCCAGCTGCAGGTAAAGACATACAGACTTGAGACTATTAATAAGAGATTAAATGCAGACTTTAAAGGAAAGGGGTTTGTCCTAAATATGTTTATCAATAGCTCACATTACCATGGCAAACAAGCCAAAAGGAGCACTTGTTCAAAGAGATGCTTTGTTGTTATGACTCCAAGAAAAAGAAAGTAAAAACAGCTAAAAAGTAGTAAAATCAAGGGGTGTCAATTCAGACTGCCAATCCAAACAAGTCCTAAAGGAGATTTATCAGTAAAGCCTCTTATTGAGGAAAGTGATGAGGTATGCACTTAAATAGAGATTAAATAGATAAGTGGATGAGTGTGTATGCAGCCTAGAGTGTTTCTTAATCAATTTAATATGCCTAGATGCTTTAAAGTACCTGTATAGAATAGGCTTCTATCTCAGCAACAGTCAGCTATGTGTAAGAGGTGGAAATTCCTCTGGCTACATGGTGCTTTTCAAACACCACAGGACTTGACTGCTACTACACATAACCACAGAGTGACTGATTGAGGTGGCATTAATTTCCATTGCAACTCTTCTAATGATAATTAGTTCTAAAGCCACATTAATTCTTCACTGAATCAGATATAAAAGTTGCCTCTGTGTAACTGATGAACAAGCTAACTTCTGCAGATCAAAACTGTGTAACATGTAGTAACGTATTTTCTTGAGAAGAATTTTAATATTCTACAAAGAACCTGAAAGGGCTTCTCCAAGATTGTTTTTGAGGGGGCAAGCAATGAAAAGCATTTTCTTTTTCAAAAACCTTCAGATAAGCAGCTGAAGATTTAATAGAAAATTAAATACAGAAGAGATTCTGACATTTCCAAATTTTCAAGAACTGAAATACTTCATTCAGAAGACTTATGGATTTAACACAGTTTATAAAGTCTCATGCAAAATGGGATTGTTAACACCTAATCAGGCATCCTGCAAATAATAGAATTACACCTGTAGATTCCTGCAATTTGCCAATTTATTGCTTCAGAGTAACTGACATAGTTTTTTGGTGAGAAATAATAGAGTTCAGTTTTTTGTAGGAGTAGAGGTCAGACAAACCCATGAAGTCCACAACAAGATTCACAAAATGTTCTGTGGCCTTTGAATTAGTTCTGATATTTTTATTAGAACAGAATTTTTTAAAAATAAGAGAATTTTAAAAGAAGATAAAAACATTTTGGGGACATTCCATTATGTGACCACAAATTCTGTGGCATTCATTATGAAGAACACATAACCACGAGACAGGCTAGCATGAAAAAAAAATAAAATAGTTTGCATTAGTCTTATTTCTTCCTGAGCTTGATAATGAGAAAATTTTGGTTTTGTCTTCAATAACATATCAGAATTATATATTAATTTAGACCATAGTATGACTAAAATGTCATTAAATTATTGTACATATGTGGGTTTTTATCAAATTTCGGCAAAGGTAACATTCAGTGACTGTGAAAAAGGTAATTCTGTAATTCACAAAAAAAAGTAAAAAAGTTTGGCTCAGAAAGAAAAGCAATAAAAATTTTAATTTAAGATAAAAATGGGGGAAATCTGTTCTTTTTCCCTGTGCATACTTGCTAACTACTCAATGTTATGTGTTAAGTCACCTTAATTCTTCCTCACAA